TTAGGTTTTCTCAAAATTCCGTGTGAGCTTTTTTTTCCGTGTCGAATTTTTACACATCGATCTCCTATTTTACAATTCAGGACGACTTCACAAAAAACATCATCGTGGCAATGTTAGTTTGGTTAAAATCATTACCCTTGATTAGTTGACCCATGAAATCCACAAACAGTTAATAGACTGAAATAGTGGTTCATTTGCTTCTATTATGGCATCCACTGTTTTCCTGCAGCGAACATTTTTTCCAACAACCCGGCTGTTAGACCTGATGGTCTAAGGCATTGTGGGCTTGATGCGCGACTGTGGGAAGGTAACAGGTTGAACGTAATGTACATTCTGTATTCGCGTGTATGCCCGTGAATTCAACTCAACTAAATTTTTACATTACATTCTGCATTCTTCTTGTTTATAGGAATAGCTAGTGAACATCGCGGTCAAAATTATTGTCTGTTTATGCAAGTATTGGCCTACATACAACGACTGAGATGAGATGGTCCGGGACAGTGAAGCAATTATAATACGATGGTCTGGGACAACCAAGCTATTATAATACGATGGTCTGGGGCAGTTTGACTATTATAATACGTTGGTCTGGGGCAGTCTGACTATTATAATACGATGATCTGGGACAGCCTAGCTATCATAATACGTTGGTCTGGGGCAGTCTGACTATTATAATACGTTGGTCTGGGGCAATCTGACTATTATAATACGATGATCTGGGACAGCCTAGCTATCATAATACGTTGGTCTGGGGCAGTCTGACTATTATAATACGTTGGCCTGGGGCAATCTGACTATTATAATACGATGATCTGGGACAGCCTAGCTATCATAATACGTTGGTCTGGGGCAGTCTGACTATTATAATACGTTGGTCTGGGGCAATCTGACTATTATAATACGATGATCTGGGACAGCCTAGCTATCATAATACGTTGGTCTGGGGCAGTCTGACTATTATAATACGATGGCCTGAGCAGTCTGACTATTATAATACGATGGCCTGAGCAGTTTGACTATTATAATACGAAGGCCTGAGCAGTCTGACTATTATAATACAATGGCCTGAGCAGTCTGACTATTATAATACGATGGCCTGAGCAGTCTGACTATTATAATACGATGGCCTGAGCAGTCTAACTATTATAATACAATGGCATTGAACAGTCTCGCTATTATAATACATGTACGTTGGTCTAGGGCAGTCTGACTATTATAATACGATGGTCTGTGCGTAGTCTAGCTATTATAATACGTTGGTCTGGGACAGCCTAGCTATCATAATACGTTGGTCTGGGGCAGTCTGACTATTATAATACGATGGCCTGAGCAGTCTGACTATTATAATACGATGGCATGAGCAGTCTGACTATTATAATACGATGGCCTGAGCAGTCTGACTATTATAATACAATGGCCTGAGCAGTCTGACTATTATAATACGATGGCCTGAGCAGTCTGACTATTATAATACGATGGCCTGAGCAGTCTAACTATTATAATACAATGGCATTGAACAGTCGCGCTATTATAATACATGTACGTTGGTCTAGGGCAGTCTGACTATTATAATACGATGGTCTTGCGTAGTCTAGCTATTATAATACGTTGGTCTGGGACAGTATAACTACCATATAATGATGGTCGTGGAGCAGTCTAGCTTTTGTAATACGATTATGGTAGTGTAGTCCGTGATAGCCTAGCAACAATATAGTCGCCAGACAAGGGCAGGTCGTCGTATTATTACCCTTGATATAAATATAGATAATGTCGGTATGTCATACATGTATATATATATTCAAACGTCACTGTATATCATTGTATGTTTGCCTACTTGTACGCCTCCAACGTGCATTATTACTTGCACACACGTGCATAAGCATTGACATACGTTAATGTTGGTCGCGGTTAGACTTGCATACATATATTGTTTATTTCGCGGCAACCCGGCTTTCACCGTTTATACACAGATCATTTTTTTATGATTGCTGTGATACTTCCTAGCACTGTAACTGTAAAGTACAAAAAGTACGGTATACCAAAAACAATATAACTTTAATAACAAGTAACCAGATTATATATATATTTTTTATAATATCGTTATGCAAGACATGTGCCCTAATTCGTATCGCATTACTAGCATGTATATCATGCATCTTCATATATGTTTTGTCAATTTTCTCGATATCAAATGAAAACAGATGATGTAATATGTTTTAAAATAAAATTCAATTAAAATTCCATGTCTTAGATCACTTTTATCGACCATTCAGCTTAATGCCACACTGATTTAATTTTATGGATGACATCCTCTGGAGACCCCAAAACTAATGCGAGTGGGCGAAAAAAAAAAAAAAAAAAAAAAAAAAACTGCCAAAAAACAAAATCCTGCTAA